GTCACCATTGACGCGGACGCATCACTGCCTTACCTCCATGCCCAACTCGAATCTAGGCGCCCACATACTCCTATCACTCTGCCGCCGGCGTGTCGTCACCGCGCCTCCGCGCATCCATCCACACATTCTGACTCGGATTGCCGCGATTCGCTGTGGATGCCCGTCGCGATTCGCAGCGGATCCCCGTCGATCTGCCCGCCATCCTATCGTCCTCCAATCCTCGGTCCCTGCTTCATCTCTCACGTTCCCGACACTGAGTCATTGTTCAAATATCCCACGCTCGGTGTGGACCCACAACATCACACAGGCCGCCTCGTTTGATGTCCTATCCCCTGCGTGCACCTGCGTGCGCCCATATCTCCTCCGTTCGTCCACATATGCATATCTCCGCCTAGAATGCCGGGTGCATTGTCTCTCGGTAGTGTGGCGCATTGTCTCTCGCTAGCGCGCCGCATTATGTCCCGGGACTATATCGATTGTGGACGGAGGATTGCTTCCGCGGGACCACTTTCGGTAGGACGTGTCACTGTCTGATTCCGCGGGACCGATTTCACTGTATGTATGTTTACCGTCAACGAGAAAGGGGCTGATCGTGTTCTGAAGCGTGGACGAAGAGGCGGATTCAAGCTCTCCCGCGCGGGCGGATAGCACATACCACTCTGCCGCTGATCCTTGTCTCCTGCGCTTCTATGTACGACCCGGAGGCGCATTATCTTCCCCGCCTCCCACGTATTTCTGGCTCTGACTCGCCTTGCGCGTCGATCTCCCACCCCTTTTCCTAAACCGTCTCCGCTCAAGCACCTCCCTTCTGCTCCGCCGTAGCCGAGACTCCACCTCTGTGCCGTTTCCGTTGACTCAGCTCGGGCCTCGCACATCGCGCATCCCACGATCGCGCATGGACCCACAACCATCGACCGTCGACCTCCTATTCCCTATTCCATTCCAGCACGATGCATCCTATGCCAGTCCAACACGATGCATCCCCATTCCTGACGAGCCGAGCGCATTGTCCCTCGCTACACTACGCGGCAGCGTGGGTGCCTCCGGGGAGAGGTGATTGTGGGCTGATTACATCAGCAAATGTGGGAACTCTTGTTATGCCCAGACGTTCTCTGCAAACATGTGCCTAGGTTGATGAGATATACAAGGGAATGTAAAGCTTCGAAAAGCTATGCATTTTCGACACCAGGGATTCCAAACATTCCGAATTGATCAAATACTTTTCCTTGAACTGCATCCTAGCGTATGGCTGACATGTTCTATATATTGTGAACACCACCTTGTTGTCTACACTGTAAAGCTATTACCGAGCAGGTAATCATGTGCAGATTTCTCATCTTGTATTTGTTGCATTGCAATTCATGTCCGACATCCTCAATACATGGTGAATGCCTAGGTTTTGTCGACATTGCAGGGATGTGGTAAAGCAGGTATGCTTATGCAGGCTCCACACCTTTCATCTTTTGAATAGACATTGATTCAGCTCCCTTTCGGTGCTCTTACAGAAACAACGGAGAGCAGACCCTTCTCTGTATAAAATTTGCACCATCCAGTTAGTGTCTCTTGACATGTGCAACATTCTTTCTCTTGGCTCATCATTCCCTTGTTCAATGCCTCTCTCTTCCGCACTATCTGGGCTTCCCGGTTATAATTAACCTGGCTTGCTTTCGTGTGCACATCCGTTAGTCATATTGTAATTGAAAGGGCTAATGAGTACCTTGAGCTCTTCGGGGCTTGGTGCGACGCTGGTGAGGGTGAAAATAGAATGATGTCCTGCAGCATAAAAAATGGGACACCGGCTGCTCACAAGTTCCGAGGAAGTGCATCATCGATTAAACCGTCCGGAAATTTAAACCATTTATCGGACTATATATAGACAGCACTGCGCAGCACGTAAGGATCAACGAGGAGCAAAGAGCCATCGGTAGACGAAACCTGAATTCTAAAGCAACCTTGAAGCAATCAGCCAAATGTTTCCCAAGTCATTTCAAACTCCGCTGACAGCGGTCCGTGCGCACATATCAGCTGATCAATGTTCGTTGCCTGTCCCATCAACTCCCTCTTCTTTCCTCCCTCCTCGTCGCCCCCTCAATCCCCCGACTCGCGCCCGTTGGCCCTTGGCCTACTCTGTTACAATCAACATTCAGCAGCTTGGGCTGGCTGCTTTCTCTGTCATCAAACCAATCCAGTGGCAAATGCGCGCTCCCTCCTGCCGTTGCAAACTTCCTGAAGACTTTCGAGACTGCAATGCCTCAAGCCTTCAATGCTTCAATATTCAATCTCCAGGTCTCAAAACCCCTCAATTTCTCAAAGTGACCACGCAACATCATCAATGCACTCGTCAAGTCGCCGTACTGTTTCTCCCATCCTCAAGACCATCTACATATACGGGCCATCAATTGTCAACGAAGACTTGACGAAGACCTGTTTCTGTGGTGTCGAGTACAACCCCAAGGTGTGTTCTAGCCGTTGATTGTTTCATGTGCTGACCTTCAATCACTATTATTCAGATCTCTGAGGATGCCCACGCCCACTTCCGACCTCACTTCCGACCTCACCCTACCCACCGCGGGCACCGGCAGACAGTCCGGTCCTGCGTCGGGTCTGCACTGTGTCTGTTCTGATGTCGATACCCTCGTCTACGCCATCATCACCGTAGCTACACTGTTCCCCAGCCCGCAATCCAATTTTGTTTTGTGCTGTCATTTGTTTGTATCTAAGACCTTATATACCCTGGGCATGTATCTGGATCCACAGCAGCTTGCCAAGTTATTAAAATGGTGCTGTCGCTCGACCGAGGTACAGATCCCTGCGCTAAACTAGAATACCTGTTGGAAAAAGAAATACCAGATGAAGCTTTTTGATGTCTTTGCCAAAAAATAGTTCCTGTGTAAAGGCCTTTGTGCGAACAAAAAGCAGATGAAGGTTTACAGCGATTATATTAAAATATGCCCTTTGCAAGGGCTTACATGACTATACATTGCTCTCCCGCTTTTGCTGATGTACCTTCTCCCGGTACAGCGCATTGTCTTCGGGATGGGAGGCTGATTGTCTTCGGGATAGGACGCTCATTGTCTTCGGGATAGGAAGCCGATTGTCTTCGGCAGATCTAGCGTTAATTATGTTCTCCATTGCCGCTTATCTTCATGTCTTGCCACACCGCCGATTATCAGGTGCGTGTAGGACCCTGATTTATTGCGGTCTCAAAATGCAATGCGGAATCAAGCTCTACCGCGCGGATATCACCTACGAGGCTGCTCTTTTACAAGTCGGACGCGCGTTAAGTTATCTTCCCTGGATCCCACCTATTTCTGGTTCTGACTCGACTCTGCCTTGCCTCGTGCGTCGATTAGTGCCTCGGTTCCACGCACCCCTTTCCGCTCAATCGACCCACATCTCACCCCCCTCAAACGAATGAGGTCGTGGACCCACCCCATCAATCTCCTATACCGTGCGCGCATTGTCCATCTACGCGGCGCTGTGGGTACTTCCGGGGACTCCTGCGGTAGCGCTGATTACCTTCGGGAACGCTGATTATCTTACAATGCCGATTATCCGCAACAATGCCTATTGTCTTCTGCAACACGCGCTGCAGACAGGGGTTGATTGTCTGTCCACGGATTGTCTTCGTCAGTACATAGGACTCTTGATCTCCCACCGTCTTCCGCAACACCCCTTCCCCGGATCCCACGCATTCTCCTCGACTGCTCGCGCACGCTTGGCCGCCGGCCAGTCTTCCTGGATCCCACCGCCAATCGCAGCTCCCAGCTGGCCCCCCTCAATCGAGCACCCGCGCCTCGCCTTCCTGCTAAACATCTCACGCTCCCCACTGGACCCACAACAACACCATTAGTATCATCAGCCTCGTTTAATCTCATATCGCATCCTCGCCTCCCCATATTCCGGCCCGACGCACATTGTCCCTTACTACGCTACACGTGTGGGTGCTCCCAGTTCCGGGTCTGTTAGCCGTCTGCGGACAGAACTGAGTGTCCGATTGTAGCAGCGCTGATTCCACGGGACGCTGAGGTTCTCTTTCTGCAGGACTGCCTCCGAGGCGGCGATTGATTGCCTACGTGTAAGAGTCCAATCATTGAATCACCGTCTGCGTTCTGCGCCAGCGACTCTCTGCGTTATGCGACTCCAGCGATGATTATCAGCGTCAGGTTCGGACCTGCCTGCATCGTCCCTTTTCAATTTCGCTCCCTATTCGCATGTTGAATCCCCCACTCCACGTTCGCTGCTTAAGAGAAGTACACGACGCGCAGGCAAAACCTGTTTATATCCACTACTACTAGTATATGGGACCAGAAACACTTTGTGGGCGAGGTTGTCATATACCCATCCCAAGAATTACGCCGATGCGATCTGATACTTGCCGAGTTGAACTGTTGTGAGCTGGGTTTCATGTGAATTTTGTGGAATTGCTTTCAGAGTTGGATTGTTTCTGTGAGATGATGATCTCGACTTCGCCCAGCCCGCTCCTATCAACCTACCTCGCCTCCCAAGCCATTTCCTAAAAAATGACCAAAAAATCGAAATTTCTGATGAACATGCTTCCGGCGGGAGTTGAACCCGCGTCTTCCCGTAATACTGTAGGGGTTACCGCAATGTATCAGGACGAGTAACCGCTACTCCACAGAGACTTTCTTGCACCTGGAGCGGTTGTGATGTTGAGGGCTAGATTCGGGAGGAATCCGGTCACAAATCGAATAACAATAACAATAACTCATACGCCCTGGCGAGTCAACTTGAAACTTGAAGCACGGCTGAGATTACTCTAACGCGATTTATTTGAAATACTGGTTGCGTTGCATTTCTGTGGATTGAGTTTGACTTAAGTTCTTGTCGGGTTCAATTTTTGCGAGATGGTGGGCTCGCGTTGGTTCTGACCTGCTCGGTCGTGGTCTAACCGGACCAACAATTCGTGAATCTCTGTCCGTCCCAATCTATTCAAAAAGAGCGGAAAAACGCCAAAAAAGCGACGTGAGAAATGAATGCGCCTCCGGCGAGATTCGAACCCGCGTCTCTCCGTAATCACTCAAGTTCAGCGATTATAGCGGAGCGAGTAACCGCTACTCTACAGAAGCTTCCCTATACCCGGAGCTATTACTATATATGCATATGCAGGTAGGCTCGAAACCAGCCTGTCTATGAAAGCAAGCTTGTCGATAGACAGGCTGGTCGATCTGAGTTTAAATTCACATGTTAAGCGGGTTGCTATATAAGGCTATTCACATTTTTCTTTATCTCTCGCCAAATTCATTCTTCTCAGAGTCAGGAATGTGTGCCTCGTCAGTGTATATAAGAAGGCCTTTATCCTAGGCAAAATATGGAGAATTGAGCCTCATACAACATATTCTATCTTAATTGTCAATGTTTGGATCCAAAGTTACCCGCACGGAACATGCGGTCCGGAATAACCTTATATGGTAACCCGCTCAACACACGAATTTAAACTCAGATCGACCGGTCTGTCTATCGACAGTTTCATAGACAGACGGTCACCGGTCTAATATGCAGGGCTGCACGGTGTAGGTATGATCGTAGGTCCTTTGGTGTTAGTTAGGGTACTTGCAAAGCCTCATGCCGACCCAGAAATTTATATTAGGCCAGCGAAATCTAATGCTGAAATTTGTGTTGAATTCCGCTCAATTGCAATAAAAATATCCACAGTCATGACAAACGCCTCCGGCGGGAGTCGAACCCGCGTGTCCCGCAAATGGACCAGAAATATGATATTGTCTACAGAGGCACTTGGAACAGTTCCGATGTTGAAGGTCAGATTCTGGTGCCCGCAGTTCATAAGAACGGAAGAAAGTCGTGTGCAGAACGAAAATCAAAATGCTGGATGCACTGCCGCTGACGACAGTTCATTTTACCATACGTAATATCGAGTCGATCGACTGCGCAGGACGCAATGCAATGATATCTCGGATGTCTATGCAAACAATAAGAAATTACAGTATGTCCGAGTTCCGTCCATACATTCCCTTGGCCCCGATCGCATGACGGTGGTATGGACAGAATCAGCAAAACGACAAATGGAGCTTTCTGCGGTGTACATCAGTAAATCAAAATGCAGGATTATGATAGGGAGGGATCGAGGGATCAACATTGAACGCCTATCAGTGTTTCAATACGGAGGGATCAACGATTCAACAGGCAGGATCACTGTTCCAACACGGAGGATCAACGATGCAGGGATCGGAGGAAGTCGAGTCCACATGCACCCACAACGTGCGGCCGAGCGCCGGTGTGTGACGGTGTGCGAGTATGTACGAGGCAGACGGGGATCGATCGACCATGTACGGGGATAGATTGTATGGGATGTAGAAACACAATAGAGCGTGCCGATGTATGCTACGCCCAAGCTTCAAGTTCGTTCCGTGGAGGATTTATGTTGAACTCCTTCCAAGCGATCGCTCAACTCAAAATCTTCCCCTCGGATATCCACCCCATCCATTCCATACGCACCCATACTGTGACGTCCGCTGTCCAGCATCCGCCGCCCACTTACCGCCCACATCAATATTGAATCGCCCATGATCTCAACAGAGTCCGAAATACAGGAACAGGAAACCCCGCCATCCAGCTAAACGCGGTTGAATACGTAGCCATGTCGCGCACGGCGGCGATGGGAATATTGACATCTCACTCAGGCGGGCAATACGCCTGATTAGGTAATATGATGTGATGCATTGGGCAGTGGAATGGAAAGGACCCACCACGCCCGATGCCCGGCTCCGCTCCATTTTGGCAGTAGGGACCGGGCCGGTTTTTCTTTTGTTCGGACGATTCAGAGCTGGGCTAGGCGAGGAGTATTTACGACGGTAGCTGTGCGGAACTACAATCGGTTGAATGCGATTCCAGGAACGCCGCGTTCGTAATCCCACAGGACGGAATGTCACTGGGCACAGCACCTCTCCGCTGCTGTGTGCGATAACGAGCTACAGCATTTATTATTGGCAGCGCGCTTTCATTCCACAGCACTCATGGCTGAAACAGGCAATTTCCTCGATTCGGCATTTCGCTGCCCCACAATAATAGACCAGTATCCGGCTAAAATAATCCCGATACAATGGTTCTTATCGTGCGGTACTGTATGCATATTTCAATGTCCAGCAGGTATCCGCAGCACGATAGTTCACTTTTAATTAAACGATCGTCTGCTAGATCTAAGCGCCAGGTAGGACAAGTATAAACGTCCGGCAACGTCAGTGGCGTTGGAAAATAAACGAGGTTTAATTCGGCGTCTTTTATGAACAAATATAATGACTATAATGACCGAAACCTCGCGGGTGCTGTGGTTCGCGGCAACTACGATTGCTGTTGTTAGGAGGGTACCGCGAGTGACGCAAATCGAACGCCGGGGGCTTGATAGATTCTGTACCAGATCACAACTACACGCTATCAGCGTAGGGGCTGGATGTGGGACAAGGATTTAAAATTACACACACTCATCACAACGTACTCACGCCCCAAGTTCCAAACTCACATTTCTTCGCCGCCGGCCTCCCTCAAAAGGATTCCCTTGTTCTCTCTTCCATCAAACCCCTTGTATTAAACAAAGCCAGCCCATCATGCATGGACCCACCCCCACCTGCTCCCGGCTTCCTGATGATCCACTCCTTTTTTGGTACAAGGACACCGATTTGATGCGCGCACTTGGTGTTCGGTACATATTTTTTCTCACACGTTTCCGCATTCGGTGTGTGTAGATTCCACCCTCGAGCGCCGAGACAGAATTAACAACGAATAAACTCAGAGCCGTCACTCGGAGGTCCCCGGTGGCTGTGTTCCGTAGTTGAATTGTTCAATTTTGGATTGTCATGCGGATTTCCAGTTCTCAGATACCGGAGCTCGCGAGAGGTCCACGGGCAGGTCCCTCGCTGCCGGTGAAGTTTTCTAAAGCTGAGATTCCGCATAAATAGCATAGCAAAGGATTTCGTGACAGTGAATCAGAAGTTCCGACAATGGTGTAAGATGGACGGCGTCTTTGAGCCTTGGCGCTTGCTTGGGAATCCGGGATGGGAAGCCGTATTAACCCAAAATCTGTTGGGTGACTAACCTGGAGCACTAGTACATATGTAATATTTTTTCTCCATCCTCAGCACTCCTCTGCCCATGTCCAGGCGTTCGAGTCTTTCACGGCGGCTAATAGACCCTGTTACGAAGGGGAAGTATGAAAAATGCAATCCTGGTCTTCCTTTTCTCCAGTCCTATGGTAGACGAAGATAGCGCGACCGAGCTATCGGTGCCGGCGCCTCCCTATTCTTGTACTGATTGGGTGGCAAATAGCACCCAGGAACGCTAGGCCGAATGCAGTGTAATTCGGCGCCTCTGTGCGCCTCATGCGCTGAAACTGGGCTGTGGGGGTTAAAATTGGCAGAAATCCTTCTTCCCCGAACATTGGATGGCTTTGCACTTCGTTCTAACATCTCGTGCTACTGTATGGTTCGTTTTTTTTGTAAATTCGAACAGCTTCAAATGAAAGCTTTCCGAGGAGAATGAAGGCCCAATGCGAGAGCAAGGGCGCCGTTGATTTAATTTCACGAGGTTCAACATCCCGAAGCAACTACGGTAGTGCATCCGCGTGTGTTTGATTGCGTTCGCTTGGCTGCCGAGATCATGCATATGGGGTGTCTTGTGCTCGCGCGATACCGATCTCTCTTGTTCTGGAATGACTGATTCACGGACACAATGTCCTGAGGGTCAAATAGCCTTTGGCTTCTGTATGACTTTCCGTTGTGGCTCATTTTCGGGTACAAGGGCAATCAATAGAAAGCGGAAGAAACTCAGGAGCCTCTCATCTTTATTCAACATCATCAGCTGAGAGCTCTGCTCATGTGCCACTTGGTTCAAATAGTGTGCTTGGTGGGGGGACCGGAGGATACGTTGTCTCACAAGGCCACGTCGGAAAAACACAACCAAAACAGAACTCAATATTAATCAACGATGAACAAGAAAAAGGCGGTACGAAGTAATCAGCTCGTACATAGTGACGCATCTACACTCAGTGCGATGGGCATAGTTGAAGCAATGAGCATAACTGGTGCAAGCTGGATGTCGGTTTTAATGTTGTTCAAATCGTACGGCCGAGGCGTGGCTGAGGTGAAGCAAATTTGAAGCAGATGAATATGAGTGCTGTTGGGAGTAGGTAAATCGGCGAAGTAGAACGGGAAAGGAGCCAAGGTGAGAAAAAAAAGTCGATGACCCTGGCGATCTGAAGTTGTATGGATGTACCTGGACTTACAAGAGCAAAGCATTGATGTCGGTGATTGCCGGATTGCCGAATTCTGGCCATTCCTAAGACTGAGTTACCTCCATACCAACTCGAATCTAGGCACCCACATATCCCTATCACTCCCTCTGCCGGCGTGTCATCGTCGCATCCACGCATCCACAAATTCTGACTCCGATTGTCGCGATTCGCAATGGATCCTGCTCGCCATCCGATCCCCCCTCCAATCCTCGCTGCTTCTGCTCTTACACTATCCTCGCTGCTTCCATTTTGGCTCACATGGCCTTAACTTACCTCCTCCGAAACCAAGTCACCTATGTACCCCAAACGTCCCACGCTCGAGTGGACCCACAACATCACAATCAGCCTCGTTTGATCTCCTATCCCGTGCGTGAGTCTGCGCGCGCCCAGGCGCTTTGTACCTCGCCACATGGAGGATTTCCTGTTTCGTAGGATTGATTCTGCTGTGCCGGAGGATTGATTCCGCGGGACCGATTTCGGGTGGACTCAGAGGGGGTGTAGCGCCGATTGTCTTCTTCAACACGGATTCAAGCTCTCCCGCGCGGAAAGCACATACCACTTCTGCTCTTCTGCAGCAAGTCGGAGGCCAATTATCTTCCTCGATCCCACGTATTTCTGGCTGTACCTCGACTCGGCCTCACGCGGCGCACCCCTAATCGTTCACCTAATTCTGTCCCCGCTTCTGCTCCCCCGTCCCCGCTGAATCGACCGGCCCAACCCTCTCCGTTTAAACGAGTCTCCATTGACTCAACTCAGCTCGCCCATCTCGCGATTGCGCATGGACCCACAACCATCAGCCATCAACCTCCTGTTCCATTCTGGCGCGATGCACTGCGTTCCAACCGGCCCTAACCACAGTTTGCGCAGCTTGGCTTACCTCTGCTTAGCCGGCGGCTAGGTCTGTCTAGGCTGCTAAACAGACCCTGTTGATGGCAACTAAGCCGAACTAAACATAGCTTCGGTTAGCTTGGCATAACTCTGCTTAGCCGCCGGCTAGGCCATCTAAACGTAGTCTGCGGATGTCAGCGCAACTCTGCTTAGCTGAAGGTAGGTGAGCCTAGCCCACCTATACTCAGCTGGCCCCAGCAACACATATCTCAACCCGGTCCTCCATGGCGCTACTCATCTTAGCGATAATTCCGCGGTGCACGTTAACCAATGGGGATGCAATGTAGGCTATTTTGGGAATATCATACATATAGTAGCCGCCATCCTTCTGCCGCCAGGGTTGGCGCAACATGGGACGAGGCCTTGCGGCAACAAATATTCCAGAATGAGAAATGACTTGGAGGACAATAGGGTAGGTAGTAGGTAAATGTAGGTGTGGCTATGGCGTGCACTAACCTCTGGCTATAGCACTAGACAGACCTACACAGAGGTAAGGATACCTACGCAGACCTACACAGATGTAACCATGGTCTGTGTAGTCACCCTAACCACAGCCCTCTGCTTAGCTCTGTTCAGGGCTCCCAACTCAGGCTGTGGTTAGGAGGGGTCGGAATGCAGTGATGCGTCCCCTATTCCAGTCCAACACGATGCATCCCCAAGTGCTGACGAGACGAGCGCATTGTCCCTGGCTACGCTACGCGACTCGTGTCTTCCTCAATCTGGCCTCGATAATTCCGGGGTGGTTATCTTTTCCATATACAGCGCTGATTGTCTTCGCGGACTGATTGCTGGGTAGTGGGGACCTACTTGGCGCGGGGTCTCCGCCTCTTCCTCCTCAACGGCTCCCTCCGTCTACATCTGCATCTGTATCAGGTTTGGGTCCAACTGCGTCTGCGTTCTTGCACGATAAATATCGAATCAACTTAGTCCCAGTTACAGTATGTTCGTCCAACAGCGTCCGTCTGAGCCTGCGTCTGCGCCTGCTTCCGGCTCTGCATCCCTATGTTTGGGTTCCAGCTGCTTCCTACATTGAGATGCGCAAGACACGACCGGAAGATGGAGTTGTTTATACTTACATATGCGCGCGCAGTGCAGATACAATGTGTGGACGTTGTGTCTCTGCGAGGAGGTATGAACAGAGCAAGCCCAAGTCCTCGTGCAATTTAATCCAACGCGGTTTGACTTGAAAACGGATACATTTACCCGGGGCTCGCCAACAGCGCCTCCCAGTTATAAGATAATAGAAGCAAAAACCGGCAAAAAAGCAACAAAGAACTACAAAAGCGTCTCCAGCGGGAGTCGAACCCGTGTCTTCCGGTAAATCTTTGGAAAACTGGATTTATTGTAGCGGGATGAGTACTACAGAGACATCCTTACAATGGGTGCAGTTGCGATGTTGAGGGCTGGATTTGAGATGAATCGGTATCCATGCGCCCACTGTTCATTGTCTAAGTATGTGAGCAACGCCCAAATCTTTATAGTAGTGGTTCCATACGAGCGAACAAACGTGCAATTGAAGCCCAGGCCAAGTTTACTCTGACGCGATCTGAGATACTGGCTGAGTTGAATTTCTGAATTGGGGAGTTGGATTGCGGTGAAATGGTGCCTTCGATTCTGAGCAGCTCGATCTTTCTGCCGTGAACAGGATCAACAACCCTGAGATTTCTATCGCTGCTAAGCCATTTTTCTTTAAAAAAAACTGCCAAAAAACTGCCAAAAACCAACATGACAAGTGGAAACGCCTCCGGTGGGATTCGAACCCACGTCTTCCCACGCATTCTCCTGCTAGTGCATTACATCAGGACGAGTAACCGCTACTCTACAGAAGCTTCCTTATCCTTGGAACAGCTATTATATATACAGAGCTGCCCGGTGTAGATATGATCATAAGTCCTACTTGCAAAGCCTCAGGCCGAGCCCAAAAATTAATATTAGGCCAGCGCATCTGATATTGAGTTAAATGTGAGTTCGATCTCTGAGTTGAATTCCAGCCAATTGCAAGAAAAACATCTACAGCCAGGATCAAAGTCGAACCCGCGTCTTCCCGCGAACGCGTGTTACGTCGCTAATGTAGCGGGACGAGTAGCGTGGAGGCTTCCTTATATATTGTGTGGTTGTGGTGTTGGGGGCTAGATTTTGGGGAGATGTTGGAGGATATGGGTGGAAGAATTAGGTCAGGTCACAATGCTCGGTTAATACATAGGGCGTACTCGTATGTGTCTATGCAAGCAAAGCCCGAATCTGTATACGTCAACAACGGCACTGTTCCTGTTACTGCCTAATCCGTTTTTGTGAATAAAAAAACGACCTTTACTTGACACGCCTCCGGCGGGAGTCGAACCCGCATCTTCCCGTGAACGCGTGTTACGATCGCTAATGTAGCGGGACGAGTAACCTCTACTCTACGAAGACTTTCTTGCATTAGGACCAGCTGTACTGTTGTAAGCTAGATTCTGGTGTCCACAGTTCGTAAAAAGGAACAAGGATTCGAGTAGGGAAGAAAGTTTGCGTCAATCGTGCCGTAACAAATTAAATTAAAATACTGGATGCACGCGATGTATTTTATATCACACCGTCCAGGACGCACAATGGAATATCATAATGTTTGTGCAAACAAAAGGGAAGTACAGCATCTCCGAGTTCCATGAATCCATTCGCCCCCTGTCCCTGACTTGATCGCATGACCGTGGTATGGACAGAATCAGCAAAACGACGAATGGAGCTTCCTGCGGTGTACATCAGTAAATCAAAATGCAGGGTTATGACATTGATAAGGCCGGATCGTGGGATCAACGTTAAACGTTGAACGCCTATCACTGTTTCAACACGGAGGGATCAACGATTCAACGCGGAGGATCCACAATGGATGAAGAAGAGTCCACATGCGCCCACAAACTGAGCCCCAGCGCCGGTTTGTGTGTCAGGATACGAGACAGGGATTGATCGATCGCTGTACGAAGATGAAGTGTATGGGATGTCGGAAGACAATAGAGCATTCCGATGTACATATAGACCGGTAACCGGCGATCGCTCGTATGAAGACAAATCGTTCATAGAGAGACTGGTCGATCTGAGTTTGAATTTCCATAGCAAGCGAGAGATCACATTTCTTTAGGTTGCTTGTTATATTTTATTTGACTCTCTTCGTTTGTACTCTGTGCGGCCGTGCACGTGCCAGAAACGTGATCGCTCGCTTGCTATGACTCGGATCGACCGGTCTAATATACATATGCTGTGCTGTGAAACTCCTGCGGCCGGAAACACAACCCTCGATTAAATAATCTGGCCCGCGGGACGGACGGGCTTCCGATTGCACTTTTGAGCCAGTGAGAATTAATTGAGGGTCACCCATCACTGCCGTCCACATGCGCCCAGACCGTGGCGTACGCTGTCCGCCGTCCGCCAAAGTCCGCCGTCCGCCAAAGTCCGCCCCGCCGCCGCCCCCCCCCCCCCCCCCCCCCCCCCCCCCCCCCGCGGCCCGCATCGATCTTGGATAAACCACAATGATCTCATCGCAGTCTGAACTATTCCGGAATGCAGGAAAGACCACCCATTCTTATCTACCCTTATCGTGCACGGCGGCGATGTGAATATGAATTGGTATCTCAGGCGGACAATAGGCTTGATTGGGAGTGTGATGTGACGCATTGGGCAGTGGAATGGAAGGGACACACCACGCCCGATGCCCGGCTCCCCTCCGTTCGGCGGAGGAGACCGGGTCGGGATGTTTTTTGTTCTGGGTCGAGTACACACGCGACCGTGAATTTGGTGGTTGGTACTCAGCAGTATGGAGAGGGGATAATGATGCACGGACGCAAGCATTTTCATGACGGCAGCTACTAGCTGTGCGGAACCAGGGTCGGTTGAGTGTGATTCTGCCAACATCGCCGCCCCGCGTTCCGCAGCACGAACTGTTGCCGGGTTTATCTGCTGTGCACGATAACAAGCTACAGCCTTTATTATTGGCAGCGCGCCTTTATTCAACAGCACTAATGATTAAAACAGGCAATTTCCTCGATTCGGAATTCTGCGCCACATGATAATATACTGGTATCCGCCCAAGATAATGGTTGTTATCGTGCGGTAAGTATATCTCAGTATGCAGAACGTACCAGTACAAGTATATCCAGGTCAACCGCCGCAACTTCACCTATAATTAATTGTTCCTTCCTATCTAGACGCCGAGTGTGATAATTCTATCCGTCCGGCGACGTCAGTGGCGTTGGCACATAAACAAGGTTTAATTCGGCGTCTTTTATGAACAAATATAATGACCGAAACCTCGCGGGTGGCGTGTTCGTGGCAACTAAGAGTGCTGTTATTAGGAGGTTCCTGCGAGTGATAAAAATCGGATGCCGCGTGCTGGATAGATTTGAATCTGTAGCAGAGTATATCTACACGCTATCGGCGCAGACACGAGATGCGGGACCAGAATTCAAACTAATTACATACGCTCATCACAACGATCAAGTTCAAACCTACATTTCCTCGCCGACGGCCTCCCTCGTCCTGCTCTTCCATCACACCCCTTATATTATTCTTTCTGACGAACAAAGCCACTTCATCATACACAGACCCACAAATTAGTCATTCAAGCCACATCTCTTCGGCGCCGGCCTCCCGCAATAAGGCATGCTTGTCCTTCTTTCCGCCCTTGTATTATTCCGGCCCTTATATTAATGCCACCGCATCATGCATGGACCCGCCCCCAGCACCTCGCTGCTTCTTGATGAGCCGCTCCTTTTTTAGTACAAGGGCACGATGATTCCGATTTGATGCAGGGTTGTGTTTGGTATTTCTCAGACACATGAAGTGGCATACGCGTGGTGTAGGCCAGTACAGAATCAACAACGAATGAAATGCGCCGATGCGAACGTCACTCGGAGGTTTTCGGTGGCTGTGTTACGTGGTTGAATTACTCAATTGTAGGTTTGTCACGCGGATTTCCAGTTCGCAAGTGCCGGACTTACCTCCTTTTTAGGTCCACAAGCACGTCCCTCGCCGCCGGTGATTTAAAAAAAAATGTGATTCAGCATAAATAGCATAGATAAGGATTTCGTGTCAGTGAATCAGGAGTTCCGACAAGATTGTAAGTTGGACGGCGTCTTTGAAACTTGGCGCTTGCTTGGGAACAGCATTAGCCTGAAATGGGTAAGTAACAGGGAGCGCTAGCAGTACTCATGTGATCTTCCTCTTGATCCTCAGCATGTCCAGGTGTTCGTGCCAGCATTTTTTTTACAGCTGATCGACCCTGTAACAATGGGGAAGCCTGATAAGTCCAATCCTATTCTTCCTCGTCTCCGGGGTGCTATTTGCTACCGAATCAGCATAAGAATAGGTAGACGCCGGCACCGACAGCTTGGTCGCTATCTTCATCTATCATAGGAACTCTAGACCGAATGCAGTTTAATTCGGCGCCTCTGTGCACCTTGTGCACTGGACCGGCTAGGGAGGTTATAAATGTCAGATCCGGGAGAAATAAGGCTAATGCGATGAACGTCATTATGAATTTCCTTTCACGAGGGTTGACACAGGATTTTTTAGGAAGCAAGCCAGTTGTTTTTCGCTTCACCTGAGCTATATCCCGCCGGTTTTTACTGCACAGATACCTTTGCTTTAGTCAGCACAGCTGGCCCCGGGTATTCTCTACGTTTTCCCGCAAACCCACTCTGTAAGGGAATCAAAACTTAACCAACTGCGCGTAAGAAAATATGTGTTATGGACGTTTATATTGTCCATATTGTCCGAGAGATGTAAACGAAGAACGGAGAGGGACTAAAAAACTAAACCTAGAGGTGAGAAATATAAACGCTCCAGTCTACGCGGGAGGGCCTGAAGGGATATCAAGGGAATGATAATAAATAGGCGGGCGATGGGTAGATTGGGATTGAAGCCATAGCTATAAATCTAAAGAATTCGTGCGCAGTGGCGCATCGGCATCCAGTTCGATGGGCGGGATTAGAGGAGTAAGCGTAGCTGGATGTCGGTTTGACATTGTTCAAATCGTATGGCTGAGGTAGACTCGTAACCACTCTGCCTACGATTGGCAACAATGTGGCGAGCACATTGCCGTAAGCAGACTGGTACTTCTCGGCTGATCACATTGGGCTGAGCGCGGAGTTTGAAATTAACTCATTTTATTGTCTAAACTTGAATTTGGAGTTTTCTTTTCGGTGGAAGAATGATGACCAAATGTTTCATGGACCAAGTCTGCGGAATGCCCGCAATCACCGGTGGATCTGGCCATCTATGCATGCATGCGGGCCGGAGGGTCGCCAGAAACAGCATGTGAATGTTGATTCACCATGGAGATTCTGTGAGAATAAACTCCACGCGAAGTTGAACGTTTGGTTCAACCCTCTCGGATATTCCCGGTGGCTGTGTACACTGACTGAAATTTTCAACCTCGCGTTTTTTTCTAGTTCGGAGGGAGTGTATCTGGGAAGCACCCTTAGTAGGTTTCCGAGACGTTCTCTGTGACTGCAGCCGGGCCCAAAGCGGCCGAAAAACAAGAGTGATCTCCCTACAAATAATCGTTGATCGGGAGAGTCCTGGTCGAAATCCTGGTTGATGGGAACCGGATATCAGATGTGGGCTGTGGGCTCTTGTAATAGTCCGGTTACATCAATGCACCCTCCCTTCTACTCGGTGATCCCATCAATACTGCCCGTATCGTAACATGCAGCAAGAATTACTGTCTGGGAGTAATTAATGTTGGTGCAGAAGTTTTCGCCCAGACTGCATTTCCGGCGCAAGCGCCTGCCCTGTCAGGGGGATCACAGAACACGGGTACAGAATCACTTGATGTACCCGCAAGCTCTCGCTCGTA